ACAAAGAAAAGAACCAACTTTAAAGTTAATTTTGATATCAAAAGGAGCGGCTTAGACAAAAAACTGATTTTACAAGAGATCAAATAAAAAACATGCAAGATGAAGGAAACGTCGATTAGTCATATTCAACCAGCTAGCCTAACACCGGAAACGTATCTAAAGTATGACCCCTGTATACTCTCTGAATTCTTAGCGAGTCAAGAACAGTGAGGCATATTTAGAAATAATTTTCTAGTTTTTTTTAAGATCTAAGGCAACCTGGAAGACAGTATAATATGCCTAGTATAGACCTCTGGATTCATTTTCAATTCATCAAACAACTTTTTGTAAAGTCTCATAGTGTGGATTTGATGACCCATCATTCAAACCACGCAAACAAGCAAGAAGAATATGTTAAAATATTTTCAATATTTATTGGATTGTTTCGGAAATTTCGGTATTAAAGTTGTTTTTCTTTGTCATTTTAACGGTTAATAATAAAGTTATGAAATAACTGCAAATGTGGACAACTGGAAGATATCAAAGACATTATTACTAATCCCATTCGAGAAAGAAAAATATCAGCGGAAAAAAGACGACTTGCATAAAGACTACATTCAACTAAATCAAGAATAGAATAGAATTGCATTGTGACTAATTGTCAGACGCACAGTGAAAATGAATGTTAATGAAAATTTAATGTGGGTTTCCGTTTACCAAATAGAGACCAACGTGAGTTATGTCTTGAATACAAATTTAAGTCAAGACCTATTGGACAAAAATCATTCTTTTATTATCAACTGAAATGTAACTCAAACAATTCTGATATTATATTTTATTCGAATAGTTGTGCTAATTATTTTTATGTCGCACTCATATTTTGCCCACGGATATACAGGGTGATTTATAACATACGGAGCAGACTAAAAGAGTAGGTACTGGAGGTAAAACTGAAGAGATTTTCTTAATAATGTTTTGTTAAAAACTTAATAGTTACATAGATATCGCATGTTAATTTTTTAAATAATTTAACGTCCATTTTTGAGAACCGCTGATATTCAGTAAAGAATAATTAAAATACTTGTCCGTTGCTAAGTAACCAAATCAACTGGATTGGCAGCAATAAAAACATGGTATCAGCTGTTCTCAATAAACAAACACCACCGTTTGAGCGTTTTAACAAATTTTTAAATAGCCGTAACAGCTATGTTATAAAGATTTTATTATTTTTATTAATTATGCATTGTTTAAGTAACCCCGAAATATTCGCAGTTTGAATTTAAGCGTAGTGTAACACCGTATATGGTAAGAAATGCTCGGCCATTACTTCAACTTTAACGTTCTATATCTTTGTGATTATTAAGTTGTGGTCAAAATTTTATTAGAAATATATCTTCAATTTGGCTCCTAGTACCTACCCTTTTAGTCTGCTCCGTATGTTATAAATCACCCTGTATACTTTATTGACCTAATTTACTTGTGTCATAACCTATAACAGTACTCTGATATGGCTAGCTGCATACTACTTACATATTAGTTTTTATACCATCACCTTAATTATTCTATCTCGATATCATGAGTCTTACACGTGATGTGGGATCTATGGATTGGCAGGAAATGTTATGACAGCTGTTATGAGAGAACTTAATCTAGCCAAGCAATATGAGCTTGTTCAACTATTAAATCACTGTAGCTATTTATGTGTTCTTTTAGAGATTCGGAAAGTATTGCTATCTATTCAATCTAAATGTGCTGGAGACGCTTAAAACGCTTAAGTACGTCGCTCGTGAGTAACTCTTGGAATAACTACCTCATGGATAACTAAAGAAATCAGAACTCACACTGTGATTTTTGATTATATAAAGTTACAGCGTTACTCTGCTTAAGAACATTAATAAGTTACAGAATGCGAAGTATGATTGAAAATTGATCGTTTTTGTACTCCTAGCTTTTTAATAGTTTTCGATGTGGTTGATCATAATCCACTACGAACCTTTTTGTGAGCTCTATGTTCAGGTTCAAACGTACATTTTCCAACAAACATCATTTTTCATCAATTTCAGATAGTTTTGTTAGCTTGAATATTGCATTTTTGAATCTAGGCCTTTCATACTAAACATGGTTAAGTACACTAAGTCAGACAGGCATTTAAGAAAAGAGTCCATGTGGTGTTACAAAAATATGAAAGGAATGTCAGGATTGTTAATAATAACACTTAAAAATGAAAGAACTTGAATTATTTAGTGATGTTGGTAGTGATTTAGATTATTTACTCCAAAACATAAAACATTACTTTTTCAAAGGTCATTTACATATCATGTTTATAAATCGTATGGAAGCTTGCCACATGGACTACGTCAACTGAATTATGACCAATTTCTAATAAAATTGAGGAATATGATTTTTCAGTAGTCAACGGGTCTTGTCTGACGTTTGTTTTTCTTTTTGGTGTCATATACTACTTAGCACAAGTTAGTAGTTTTTTTTGTTCTTTGTTTATATCATTGTTATTGTTCTTATTCTTATTGATATAAACGCATTGTTGCGATGTTAATAGTTACGCCATCATTTATTACACTGAGTTCATTTTTAATTTTCATTATTGTTTTCTTCTTCTTTTTCATTTAATCTACGTTTGGGTCTTTTGGGCTCTTCCATTTAATTTAATTATTTACATTTGGATATGATATAATGTTGGTGATACTGTATTAATGATTTCAAGATTTTTTTTTCTTTTTTACGATTAGATAGAACAGACTATTCTAGATCCCGCAGTCATAGTGTAAATTTCATAAATATTTGAAAATATATACTTTGTAGTGGAGACAATAAAGTCCTTTATTATTATTTATTCTCTGATTCGTATCATAATGAGTTAGGTAGAGATCGAGAAGGTTGACTAATGTAGGATAGCAAGATGAAGAGTGAATCCAAGGTGTTTTCAATCAAGAAAGTAATGTCTATGCAGAAAGTGATACAAACAATAATAAGCGTATAATAATAAAAATAAGAGTGCAAAAAACACCAAAAGTTTATCTGCGGTTAAACACATATTTACACATATATTGATTATTTAATCTATTCTTGGTTTCGTTATCATTAAATGTAACATCACTTAATTGAACAAAACTACTTCCTTGAGCACTTGCAATTAAAGATTTTTGCTGAATTTGAGATATAACAAGATTTTTTCAACTTTTATTTCAAACTTATTAGAACTTCTACATTAAATATTCTACGTCGGTTTTAATATAGAAAAATTGTTGAAAGTATCGATAGATATCGATTTATAAACGTGTCACAAACTCTCTTTTAACTAACAAACGTAATGGCTGCAAGTTTTACGCGTACCATAAATATTCCCTCGTTTCGAATTGAAGACGAATTACAACACTCGGTTTAAGTTGCAGAAGGGGCAATATTTCCAGCCTTTACGACGCACACAACACAGTTACGTTCGAAGTCGTAAAATCGGACGAAAAGACGATCCACGCTTACCGACTTGTAACGTGAATTACACCCACTTAATTTACTTTGAAAAATCATAAACTTGTTCACTTTGTAAATATTAAACTTAATAAATAGAAAGTAATTACGTAAATCATTTTGTGTTATATTTAGTGGTAAAATAATAAAAAAATTTAGCTTACAGCTTTTAAAATACGTGTATGTGACTACCCCACGCCCTTCTCTCGAATAAACCCCACTGCGTTTCGCCATTTGTTACACACACCGGCTTTCATAGGAACCCCATTAATAGCTAGGGTCAATATCCCTTTGCCCACCGTTTTTTTCTCTCGACAGGGGCACATTGTTTTTGTATGTTTTTAAAGTCCCGGTTTAAAGCCTGTTTTATATCGAATAAGGCTTACCTGATCTCTTGGTTAAGCTCTTTTGTAGATTGTATTTCAAACAAAAAAACTATTTCTGTTTTTGAATTTAAAAATAAACCATTATTTATTATAAAGGAAATTATAAATCAAAAAATAATTTTTTAGGGGAATTCACAAACTTCGACATTAAACATTCCAAGAACTTGAATGTTTGTGAGTTTAATGTCCTCTTTCTCAAAACAGTGTATGTATTTTAGAACGCAAATGTTCCTAAAATAACCGCAAGAAAATCGTTCTCAGGACATTGCTGTTACATGAACGTTGAAGAGCCGGCATCTGTAACCAGCGTGGTTTATGTTTTGAGGTCACAAAGTTTTTGTTTGTATACTAACAATTTTGAGAATATTTATTTTTATATAAAAGATATAAAGAAGAAAGTGGGAAACGTGAGGTGTGATGGTTTTCTCTAACCACGTATATCTACCTGGCTCCCTCACCCTATTGTATTATTTTAAAGGTACTACGTGAAAAGAATCTTCTATAAAACTGGGATTCGTGGGAAGAAGGAAACTATTAAGTGATCAATTTTAAAAACTTGTTTTTTCACCTTTAAATTGCCAACGTCATCAATCATTATCTATCTACTATCTTCCAGGAAGTTTATTAACAAAAATTATTTTTAATCCTAAAAAAGGTATTTCTTGTTGTACTAAGATATGGCTCCTGCACGGTCCATTAAAATTAATTACAAGTCTTCCAGTTTAGAACACCATGTGTTTGGAAACAGTACCGTTTTAAGCACATCTGTTCTAGAAATAACTCCACAACTTTAGAAAGATCTTTTATACTCTGATATAATAAGAATGCGAACAATAAAATTGTTTATCTATATGTATATAAATAAAGCTTAATAAAAACGTTTCCATTAATACGAAATGTATCACCATCAAAGTCAAAGAGGTTAATAAGATCAGCTTTCCAAATACAAAGATAAAGATTATCACCAATGAAGGCAGCGTTTAAAGTTTGAGTAACACAAAAAGAGTATCTCAAACAGTATTATCTCATATCAAAAATTCCAATGAAATTATTTCATTTCCGATTGTCCCACTTGAAAACTTATGTGAAACAAATAAGGTAGGGCAGTAATTTTTTGAAATTACATAGTATTAAAAATGGAACACTCACCTTCACTGACGTACATCTTGGGTCTAACATTCTCCTGCCAGGCAGCGATGGACAGCTGAAGAACACTCGTGCCGACGACGGCCAGCACCAGCACTATTTCCCTCATATTTTTCCGATTTATCAGAACTTCATGCCACGTTCACGAGGAAATATTCAAACACAAAACTTAAATCAAGAAAAATTATAGCCCAAAACTCAAAACTAATCACAATCAAACACCACGTCTCTCACTGTTATCATTAATCAATTCGATTAATTTAAAAATGATTTAAAAAATCATCGTCTTGTTTCGTTTGTTCATCACGAGTCGAGTCGACCGTTTTTCCTCTGGTTAGCGCTTCCGATTTAGCGAAGAAGAAGATGCCGGAACGTCGAACAACAACGCCGTTTCTCCCTAGGACGCCTGACGTCTACTGAAGAGCGCTCTCCGCCGCGACGCTAGTGCCAGCTGATTCTCCCACCACTGGCGACGGCCGTATATCGAGCGATCGCAGCGCCAAACCTGCAACGGACAAAGAGGGATACAATTAGCGACTGCACAAACACACGCGGAGTAAGCAAGAGGGATAGAAACCGAAAGAGAGGTATCGAGAATGGAAAGAGAGAGGAGACAACGACGACGGGAGAGAGATAGAGAGGACGACGGCGCTCTCTGGCGGCGGACGGGGGCGGTTTTTACTCGTTTTTCGTCGGCCGCATAAGGCGAAAGCAAACTTGAGGAATAGCCGCGGGGGCTCCGCAGTTTTAAGGTCAACAAACTTGTGTAATTGCTGAAATTTGCCCCGTAGTTGTTGTGACGTCTACGATTTTACATGTTAATTAATCATTATGTTTTCACACAAATACATAACCAGAAAATTATAGACCAAACTCGAATGAACACATATATACTATAAATAAGTAGGACCAAGTCACTAAAGTAGAAAGGAACGAGTACAATAACAAAAAAAATAGATTATGCAACCATTACACAATATCAATATGGCTTTACATTTACACTAATAACTTATTAGTACTATAGTAGTATGCAGTAGTACTTTTGATGTTATCTTGGTTTGTTCATTAAGAAATTTTAATAATGAATAGCTTGACTTATTGCCTTAATGACTCTTATTATCTAAAAGAGGTGACAAAGAAAATATGTTAAATTATTTTTGTGATATTTGTGACACATTTTGCTATATTCCAAAAGGGAACGATAACCCTGTCTTAACGATGACCCTTAATGTCAAGACCTTTATCTTACTTTCATTGCCCCACTTCGATAATTAACTGAACAATTTGTCTACTTATTAATAGCCTACAATAAATATATAAATTATTGATAAATATATCTATTTTTAGTTTCTCATAGACATAATAACTATTCAAAGAGAAAGTTTTGCAATCATACACAATTACTAATACGAACAATTCCTAAAAAGAATTTCCAAACAGGTTTAAAGTTTTGAGTAAGAGTGATGGCAATTGTGATGCATTACAAAATGATACAGGGAACACTCATTTTCTGCCTAGTAGTAACATATTACTTCCCTGACTTAAAAAAAGGAAGTATGTATTGTATTACTACTGACAAGTAACAAGTACTCTATTTCATAACACAATTTATTGGCTTCTCCAATCTCAAAATTCATTAAAAAAATCTAAGGGGTGATTCAGTAAACTTGTGCATTAAATTACAATATTACAAACCAAACCTAATCTACACCATCTGCGGTCGAGATATACTCAACATTCAGGGATACAACACGTGCTATTTGTTGGTAATTATCTTTAATGTGGAGGGGACTCTAAATTGAACCTACACCGATAGGCACTTAAATTCTAATTTATGACATTAACACTGTTATAATTGGACATCATGGATGTTTTTAATTTTTGTTTTCTTAAAAACATTCGTGACGTGGATGTTATGTTATTTGAGAGAGATCTCAACACATCGATATCACAACAATACACCGGTTAACCTCAAGCTGGAAACTTTGGATTATGTAACGATTTCAGGTCATCTTTGATACTAATTGACACTGTTAGAAAAGTGTTTATTTTAATTTTATAATATATTGATTATGATAGATTGATTATGAACATTCATAAAAATAATTTTTAGATTTTATATCATTAAGATAGAAATGAGGTCAATACAACTATGTATTCCATGATCTTCATTCATCATCCCTAACATGGCTTCTGCAAAAGTTAAAGTTCGTGCGAAATCTTGACGCTGTGATTCTTGAACTAGCCGAACAATTCTATCGGACATCCCTACAACTTAAAGCATAACGAATAGCTGATTGCTGGGAAGCTAGTTCAAAAGCAACTCGTATAATCTCAATGTTTGCTGATGAGCTTGTTGTCCTGTAGGACGTGTATTGGGAAAGTTATACTCACAAAAGCATAGTGTTCCGAGATGGAATCGAGGAGAAAAATTTAGAACGTAAACAAAATTAGGGCTGCGTTCTGGTCACAGAATCGCTATTTTTAAAGTTGGTCCAATTTTCAATTGTAACTAAACTTCTGCATCATCAAAGGAGAATTCAAGTTCAAAAATTTTTAATCATGTTTGTTGTCACCGGATCCTGTATTACACACAGATTTATGGCAGTTAACAACCAACTAAAAAAGGAATTACAGTAGACCCCCGACTTACGAGAACATTTGTTCCGAATTTATTGAAAACGGGAATTGATAAGAAGTAAAGATAAAAGCATCGTATTCTCAGTACGGTGCTATAATAAACTACTAAAATAAGATTTTTAGATATTTATCAAGAAAAAAAGAAAACGTATTTATAAATTTATCATCCTCTAAAATAGAACTTGAAGGTTGAGGAGAACTTTGTATTTTAGGTTTTTTGCGTATAACAAACGCGTCTAAAGTTGTCTGTCTTTCTCTTTTCTTTTTTTGTGTTCTAAAGTGCTTCATAATAGAACTTTCAAAGTTGCTACAAACTCTATCCACCATTTCTTTATACGGGTGATTATTAACATCTGCTTCTCTAAGGAAATCACAAGCTTAGATTATTGATAACAAAGTATTAGAAGAAATATCTTCAGATTCTACATTTGATTCCTCTTCATCTGTATTTAAGTCGTCAACAGTTTCATTAATTTTCTCTAAAGCTTTTAAATCTTCTGTAGAAAGGTCATCATTGGTTTTAGTAACTCATTTATATCAACTTCACAACTTCTATCTACAATTAAGCCAAGAGATGTACCTATCACAATTTCCTTTCCAATTTCTTCAGCTTCATCTACCGCTGCAATATTTTCATAAATAACTTCAGGCGTTAACTTTTTACATGCCGATCTTAGTACCCTTATGGATAGATCATCCCATGATTTGACAACTAATTTAAGGCATTCCAAGATTTTAAATTTTGTTTTCCAAAATACTTTAAGGGTCATAGCATAGCGTTCATCGCATAAGAAAGCTTTGAAAACATATCTTTTGTATACAATTTTGTAACGTTAGCATTTACTTGTTGATCCGTCGCTTGTAGAATTGAGGTTGTGTTTGGGGGAAGAAATTTTACAGTAATCCAATCAAATTCTTTATCGAGAGTAAGAGTTAGGTTAGGATCATGACCTAGAGCTTTAAGTGGAAGTATATTTTTATGAGATAATCCTTTACCATAAGACTAAAGGTGTTGTTTGTCAATTGGCTGAAAATGTAGCGGGTAATCCAAGCTTTCTTATTAAATTGCCAGTACACTCCCAACCTCTCTTTATTCACTTTTTCTGTTTTAAATACTCTAAGGATTGATAGAAACAAATATAGGTTTTAATTTCATATCTCCAGAAGAATTTGCAAGGAGAAGAAGTGTTACCCTATCTTTCATAGGTTTATTATCTGAAAGGCACGACGTTTCCTATGTCACACAGGAAATGTCACAGGAATGTTCTGTTCGGTAACTTTTTCCAGAACAATCCAGTTTCATCGCAATTAAAAATGCTCCTTGTCTAACGATACTGTGTTTACCACACCTTTCTTTAAATCGATCAAACCAACCCTTACTAGCTTTAAAGTCATTGAAACGCATATTTTTGATATCAGTAGTAAATTTTCCATTCCGCAAATCAAATCTCCGCCTTTTACGATAATTACAGAGTTTTCTGCTTTTGTTTTCATAATTATCTGTATATTTTTTATAATATTTGAAATAGTAGACGAAGAATGCCCATATTCATTTAGTCCATATGTTTAACTCCCTCAGAATGTTTTTTTAATTATTTCTTGTTTTTCTTTAATAAAAATATAAAAAATATTCGAGTATGTAGAAAAAGTTGTGATTTCTGTGAAATGGGTGCAAAACAGCAGCTTCATGGAAGTACCATAAGTGATCGTAAAGACAGTTGAGGAAAACATAACAATCGACCAAAGAAAATCGCTGATGCAGTGTGTCAGAAGATTTATGACCACATAAACTTTTCTCATCATATATCAGTGGGCAACATTTTAAAACAATTTGATTGCTCAACGAAAAACAAACACCCAATAAGCTCAAACATTTTTTTAGTCACTATATCAATAACATAATGATTTCTGAAATAACTGTTTGTCCAATATAAAAGTAACGTAATATTGCGTCACTTAGCTTTTTATCGTTGTCCAGAATCTGGATATAGTTTTTATTCGCGACCGCACTTTTGAGATTATTAAAAGAAATAAGAGAAAAAAGACTGAAGATTCTAAAAATATAATTAAATCATGAGTTTGGTAATGTATTGCATAACTAACATTCTATTATTCATTTTTCTATTAAATTACAACATACAAAGCATTTTTTGTCTCTTTCACAAGTCGGTGTAATACCAAACTACCTTCAAAATATAGAGTCTCCTATAACAACAAGTAGGATGATCAGACATGGAAGGGTGTCCTAATGATATAGTTTTATCAAACTATTTATTAGTTTATTTTACATATGAAAAAAATCAACATCGTCGTATTATCATCGAATATTGTCTGTTGTTAACATAGCTCAGCATTAACCTCCTTTAACATCTGTGCCTTTGCCTGTTCGCATCGTCCTTGATATCATCACAATATAATTTGTGATATTTTTAGCCTTGTTTATAGCGTTCTGATATCAGAACATAACACACATCATAACATTGTCTTTGATATCTTGTGACATCATCAGTGATAACTTTCAAAATCGTACAGCTTAACAACATATAACCTTTCTAAATCTTTCAAGTGAGATACGTGAAATCTACGACATGCAAAAATGTAGTGCACACATCGTAAGATTACAACTTCTCAGAAAAAGACAATAACATAATCTTAAGCAGTTTAAATATTACACATTTTATTATGTTAACTCTTACTATAGACTTAAAATAATAAAATAAACTTCTGCTTGTGTAGATTTGTCCATTTAAATTATGTTTTTGTTATGCTTAAAGGGAATTTTCGTTAAACATAAAAGCAGGTAAAGAAATCTCTCTTCAAGGAATTTTAAGGTTTCACTGTCTAAAAATAAGCAGTTGTTCAACT